CCTGTCACGCAGTGGCAGAGAGTGGGTAGCAAAAGACGAGGGTATGACCAGGGGCTTTTCCCCACTGTTGCTCTCCCACTTGCAGCCTCCAGCATTTAGGGCCTAGGAAGGTCTGATTCGGATGGTGCCCCTCACTCCTGTGCTCAATAGCGACTGCTGCCCCTTTCCTCCAAGAATGCATCCAATCTCTTTTTGAACCTGGCTAAACTGTCAGCACGCACAACAATCTGGTGGCAAGGAGATCCACACTCTAATGGCACTCTGTGTGTAATAAAGAATGTCTTTTTGTTAGTTTTAAACTTGCTACCTACTAGTTTCATTTTGTGGCCCTTAGTTCTCGTAAGCAATAGTAAATAATAAATCCCTATCCCTCACCACATTGCCTTCCTAGACTGTGTTACATGTCTGAACACAACTGTTGGTAAGACAAATACAGCAGCTGCTCAGTTCAGCAGTTGTTCATAGAGCCTGCGGTGTTAAAATGTGTTGTGTTCAGCCAGACTTCAGCATCTTTTGGGGCCATTCCTGAGGAGCACCCAAGCAGATTGCTCCCACGTGGAAACCTTGGAGGTTTTATTCTTACCCCTAAAGTGCAGCCTTTGTTGCATGCTCTTGGGACCGAGGGTTGTTCCAAAGAGCAGCTGAATCTATTGATGATTGTGGAGGCTGGAAAATCTTGGCCTATAATTTATTCTGATTCCGGTTAAAATGAGCTCCATGTGTCAGCTGGGTGAGAGCATCTGTCGGGAATGCTGCGATAAGCCCAATGCAATCAGACATGCACTTTATTTCCAGACACTTCTATCCCTAAGGAAAGCAAATTGTGGTCAGTGTTAAGAAGCTACTTTGTCTCAGTTTACCTGAGCTTTGATGTAACAGCTCTCTGTGGTATATGAGCCACACAAAAGCCCTGGCCAAAAGTTGTTTTTCCCTTCCAGCCTCTGTGGGGGCAGAGGAGAGTGACTTTGTGTGTCAGGTCTTTTCTCCACAGGATCGATTCTGGGGAAGGTTTACTGAAGAAATGCAGCTGGGTTAGAAGAATTTTGTGTCTGGGGTCAGACTGATCTTTGACAGATGAACACAGCCTGGGTCTTGCCACCAGCAATGTTCTGACCATCCTACAGGACACATTAGAACCTGAGCACCTCATAACAGCTAAGTAAGATTCACCTCTGCACCTCTGCATTTTCACAGACCTACATTTTGCATGTTGGCTTCTATTCTACCCAGGAGAGCACGCAGTTCACCATCAGACTCGATATGCCTGAAGAAGGGTGTTTGTGCTCAAAAGTTTGCAAAGAATAATTTTTCCAACTATTTAGTTGGTCTATTAAAAGATATCACATCTACCCAAATAACCTTGTCTGCCTATGTCCTGAGACCAACATGACTACAACCAACAACGCATAACAGCTAATGCATGTTCCTCAGAGCACCCTGGTGGGTAGGGAAGTTCCCTTCTCAAGCTGAGATGCGCTTTGCTTAAGCGATTAATTCAAGGTAACATGGGGAATTGGTGGCAAAATGGGGATTTAAGCCCAGATTTCCTGAGAGCCCATGCCACTTCTTAACCACAAGACCATCCTCTTTCTTCTGGGTCATCCCCATGGAGTGTACTTGACATGGAAGACTGCAGGGCAGGATTGACTATATGGTAACTAGGTCCAAGGACATGAAATGCCTTGTAGATTAGGGTCAGGACTTTGAACTTTGGTCTGAAGTAAATGGGAGGTATGTGCTCCAGGATGTTTGGAAAGTGTGGTAGTGATGTGTCTGTGTTGGCCTTTGAAAGGTTTGTGTGTGTAGCAGGGGGTGGGGGAAACAGCACATGGCCTGGACGAAGAGGGTACAGCAGTGTACTTATAGCCCTACCCTTTACAGACAATAGCTACTTGACTAGGTGTCTCTTCTGCCCTAACTACTCTATCAGGAACAGCAGATGCCTGAGCAGATCACTCTGCCGTAGGTCCTGGCTTTGCTTCAAGCCATGCCTAAACCAGGAAAAGAGCTGTCTAAACCTGCATTAGCAAGCATGTTTTACTTAAACTCTTTCCATACAGGTGTTTTGGGAACTCCAAAAGTGTGTTAGCTGGTCACCTGGCATGCTTGTGAAGGTGTTCCTTGCTTGCTATGTGAACACAGCTTGTTTTCCTGGGGCTGGCATGACCCAAAAACACAGATGGCAACATTCCTCACATTTGCATGTGCTGAACTCACAGCAGTTTTATGCCATGGGGCTGGATGTCTGGGTTAAGCTATCTGGTGGGCACACTTCCTGGGTATGGCCTTAGGGTGGCCATCATAGAGGACAGTCCGGTTGTCCTCTGTCTTCTACTGCTACGAAACCCAATGCCTTTCTCTTGAAGAGAAAAATAGAGAACATAAAGACATTGGGTTTTGTAGCAGTAGAGGACAGAGTACTTTTGTTGTGGCCCCTTCACAAAAAGCCACAGCATTTTGGCAATTAGCAGCCAGGAAAGACACAATCCCAGGAGCTTTCAAGTGCACTTCATTAACTACCCTGCACAGCTGAGTTGCAGTCCCACTGCTGCTGTGTAGCCAAGGAGTGAGCGAGCAAAACAAACGTACCCTCTGCCATCTTTGTACAAAGTCAGGGGCTGTGCCACAGATGTGCTTGGGCCTCTTTCACCGTGCCCTTGACAATGGCAGCTGTTCCTGTGAGGAGGTTCTGGAAGGTGAGTTTGGGCAGGAATTAGCCACAAGTGCACAGACATGGGGCAGCTTGGCAGCTCCAGCTGTCAGCATAGAATGGGAGACTTCCAGGTCATTCAGTCTGTTCCCCTCCACCATCCTCGTGACTAGACAGTCACCTCGCTGGGGTCACCTAACCCCAGTTGTCTTCCTGCCTAGAGTGCGGGGGGAGGGGGGCTGGACCCGATGATCTGTAAGGTCCCTTCCAGTCCCTAACAATGTATGAGTCTATGAACCCTCTTGGCATCTTTGTGCCCTTTAATCTTCGATCTCTTGATTTTTTTCCTCAGAAGGGTGATTTTCCTATTTGCTTTGAGTGGTGAAAATGGGCTGCAAACTGGGAGATGGTCAGGTACCAGGATAACTCCTCTCCCCACATGTTGGGGAGTGAAGTGCTGTGGTCTGGTCTTCTTGGATATGCACTGCAAACTCTTTTCCCTCACAATTGGTGTCTCTGTGGCATATATGGTTTCTTCTGTGCTGTTTCTTCCATCACCCAGGTATGAGAGAGGCAGGGAGTCTGGACTTAACTCTTGGATGTGTATGAACTCCCTGGGTGTGGAGCCACTGGCAAACTGTGTCTAGGATGGCTGGAGCACAGCTGGGTGATTAGTGGTAATGGTGGTTCTCAAGCTCTTTGGGTCACATACCACATGGTATTTGTAATATTTAAATGCACTGCTCTGATTTTATGTTATGAATAATAAAGTAACGTTTTATGTTACTAGAACCATACTGTACCCTCACCAGTAACCTGTGAGGCACTACAGACTTGTTCTTTTTTCCTTCCTTTTTCTTCACTCACATTTTCCCTTTCTCTTCTGCTTTTGCAGTCCTTCCTCTCTCCTATCAGCTCCAAGTTGGCTTCATAATCCCAGGAATGCATTCTGCAGTTTGAGAAACTGATCTAGAAACAAGCTGTCCTTATAGAACCTATTTTACCTATGGACTGATTTGTTTAGATGTCCCTGTTGTGAGGGCGCATTGAATTTTGAATAAGTATGCCTCACCAACCTAGGGTCTGGTTGCAGTGTTAAGCTGCAGGCTGAACAAAATGTTGTATGTTTATGTAGAGCAGAATGATTGGAAGGAACTGGTTTCAAGCTCTGATCTTTGAATCCCTGTATAGACATAGTTAAAGCAGCCCTGACCTTCATCTTCATTTGCCTGGTTCCAAATCATGCTCTCGGTTTGAAAGATGTTCTTGTTTTGACTTCCTGTCCCCTCTGAAAGTTGAGGAGGGCTCGCTTGCCCATGCGTCAAAGCATCTGTAGCAGTAAAGCCAAGCTGTCCTCTGTCTGCTTACAGCTGGGTCTCCACTTTCTCCCTTTTGGGGCACAACACTCATACATAAATGTAAATATTTTGCCCAAATAAATATTTTGCCCAGTAAATATTTTGTGGCTTCCTCACACTGAGTTGGTATTTAGCTGGTATGGTCCCAACCAGAGATGTTCAGACAAGCTAAATGTAATGGCAGAGCCCTGAGGAGGGCAACAAATGAAGGTGAAAGAACAAACCTACTCCAACTCGTGTGAAATCCCAGCCTTCTTAGAGAATCAGAAGAGCTGGGGACGTGCTCCCCAATTCCTCCCTGCCTTCCATTTCACAGCTCTCCCTGCACTCTTTGCTTTCAGGGGGAAGGGCTGACCTCCAGCCTGGCTTTGCAGATAGTTTAGATAAGAATACAGCACACCAGGTGCTGGCTGAGCCTTTTGGAGGTTAAGCCCATGTTTCAAACAGCTATGCTTTCTCCCTCTATATAATGTTAGAGGGACAAGGAACTGGTCTCAAATAGAGTTTATCCTAAAAACCTGGAACAAATTAAAAGTCTGTGGCTTGGTAGAGTGGAGGACTTCACTGGCATTTTGGCATATGTGAAGACCTGCAATTCTGTTTGGGTTCTTAGCTTAATAGGAAGAGTCTGCCTTTATAGGTCAACTCAACCAGTTTGTTCCTTGGCATCTCAAAAGAGGCTAGTGAAGGGTCCTGCTTGCAGATGCCTGTCCCCTCAGAGGTCACTGAAAAACACATTCTACACCTGGACCATCAGAGCCCTTGGTAACAACCCTCAAGCACCGTTTCCCAGTGAGTATTAATGCGGCTGATTATGCAGCATGGTAATGAGGCCAAAGGTGCTTCACAGAAAATGAGTTGCATAACCAGGGACATAATAGCAGTGCCACCTGGTGGCAGCTTCTTGTAACAATCCGACTGAAATTTCGCTAAGCTTCTTGTCTCTTTTGCTTGTATAAGCAGACACTATAACCTTTTTCTCTCAATTTGTTGAGTTGCTCCAGCGATGCATTTAGTATGTTGTGCTTTTCACAACCTGTATCCCCACTATTGCTCCCACCTGGTGTTTGGACACCTCTTTTGGAGGATTCACAGGGAACCCAGGCATCTCTTTGACTCTGCTCAGTAACAGCCAGCTAGGTATGTTCTGATCACTACTTTCCCCATTTTCCCATCATCTGGGTTTGCTTTAAGCATGCAGCTGCCCTGGGCAAACAGTTTGCCATCTTGATGTTACTCAACACTTTGCAGATCTTCCCAAACCACCTGTTCTGATTGCATGGGGGAGATTCTGTGATACATTCCCTCTGCTGTCGCTTAGATCCGAAACAGCTGCTGCTGGCATAAAAGAAGTGTTTCAAGACTCCTGGCATGGGCCAATACTTTGTAGCTAGAATAGGAGGTAACTGTGTGTGTGGGCATTATGCTCTGAGGCAACAGCTATATCCAGTTTTGACGCTTGGCTGTAGAAACACCTACTTTCCCCAAGACAACTGTTGGTGGCCAACATGAAACCAGCCCTTCCATGCAACAATCCACCTCTGTTAACAAGGTACCCTCCACCACGGCTGCAATCCTGACCCCTTTGTTCAAGTGCAGCAACCACCATTTGAAATGTTCTGCCCTCTACATTTAGTGACAGAATCCAGCTTCATAGCAATAAAAGAGATTAGGAGGTTGCGTTGTCACTTGGATAAAGATGTGGTACAAGATCATGCAGAGAGATCCCAGCCATAATAACCTGTTTACGCTCAGATGGTTGAGGCAGTTACTATGACTGGACTGGAATATTTCTTTCTTAGGAAAGCCATGTTGACAGAGTTCAGAAATGGACATATTAAGAGCAGTTGGGTATCTCATGCAATCTCTCCCTTGCATTTGCTGGGAAAGCCAGACATTAAGCATCCATTTGGTTTAATCTTTCCTCCTCCCCACAATAGTGTTTGGGTAGTAGCTGAAACATGAAGAGCACTGAGAAGGGCTTAGAGACTTTCCAACTTAAGACCTTCACCCTCCCCAAACTACTGTCTTCCATTGTATTTGAACTAAGCTGGGCTCCTCCATTACCAAGAGAGATCAGGTTTCATTTTTCACCATCCACCTGAAGGGAGCAGTATGAAGGAATCTTAATCTCAAGTGAGGGAAGACCACCTAACTCAGTCCACCCATTGTTCAGCACAGTAACAGGCCCCTTAGAGCTGCACCCAGCCCCCAAGAAATCTCCCTAATGCAAGATCACAGTGTATGTGGAAGTACAAGTCATAAGCAGTGTGAGGCAGCCACCACTTCCTTCTGTAATATGAAACAGCACAAGCTGGGGCACTCTTCCAGTCTGCATCTTACTGGGGCTAGACCACTGGTACCTGACTGAAGCAGAAGGGCCTCTAACATGGCAGCTGTGCAGACACAGGAACAAATATACAACACTGGTGGAATTCTGTTTATTGTAATAGAAAAAAAACAGAATAAACCAAACACCACTTTCTGCCTAACAACATTATTAATTCATGTTTTAAAAATGGCATGGGGCAGCCCCAGCAATACAAGACAGAACTAGGATTTGGGGCAAAGGGATTCTGTTCTTTTCCAAGAGAACAAGTTCAGTTTCCCTGTCCCTTTGTCAGTCAACTGGCGGAAGCATTTCATTATATACGCTACATATTTATCTCGATCTATTTTATATACCTATAAATAAGTGTGGTTGGGTGGAATGCTGAGTATATGTTTCTGCAACTTATGCATAACCATCTTTTGAAGGGGTGGGTTTCTAAAAGGCATACAGAGTGTGAGTACTCACTGTTCAACTGCATTAGTTAAGAGCAAAGAGGACTCCTTTTCATAGAGTCCATTTGCTGTGCAACCTCTGGGTTGCACAGCAACCCAGTTGAGTCTTAAACAGAGATGACCCTTTGGGGAATTCCCCATCAGAGGTGCATTGTTATTGCAAACACAGTATAGTTGAGTAAAATTTTGCCAAGTAATTCACATAGCAGCATTATTTCTGTACTAAGATTCTAGGGAAAAAGAAGGGCAGATTCCAAAACATAGAAGGAGAAGCCATTCATCTTCTCTCCTCCTTCCCAGCAAAGATGTAAAAAGTCCTGAAATTGTGAAGGGCAGTCAAGTAGACACCTGGTTCAGGACCACTGTCTCCCTAAAGATACAAAGCTAGGTTACAGGTTTCTCCTGAGTTACACAATAGAATGAGGAAGGACAGGACATGCACAGCACATGAAAACTGAGCTATACCTTCCTTAGTGGAAGGCAAAGACCTATTAGTGCCTCTGGATTAGGAAGAAAGAAGGGGTCTGACAGCACTTACTTTAGAACAGTTTCTGCATACTATGCACTTTCTGCCAGCTACAAATTTGTGTAACAAAGCAAGGCCTGATCCTAAGGCCATTGGGTTCCTACTGCTTATGTTTTCTCCAACCTAGAGGCAAATCTCTTACAGTGAAAGGCTTCTGCAGAGGTCTGCGATGGCACAAGCAGATAAAATAATCAAAGACATTCTGGGCTACCCTGACCAGTGCCCTGGTCCTGGAAGAATTACTTGCAGCTGTGGAAAGAGGATGTAAAATGCTGCCACATCAGATGAAGGCATTTGACTCCCACTTTGCACGTATGCTAGGGGCTACACCAGGGCAATGGGGAATTGCACACACCCGGAAGAAACCAGGACATCCTCCTCTTCCACCCTCAAACTCTTGGGAGCTACTTGGGAGGCCTTACTGAATAAAGCTGAGAGAAAGGAGAGGTTCCTAATATGCATCTTTTTGGAACAGTTGTCAAGGAGAGAAGGAGCCTAGCAAAGAAAGGACATGCTTATTTTAGTATCCTAGGAGGTTTTCAGTGCACTTGGTGCAATTAGAGATCGAGAGGCAGGTCAGAGCACTTCCCTTGCACAATGCACATGGCAAAGTCTGTCTCATGTTGTCTTTCCTAAATCCAACTGCTGGAGGGAGAAAGCACTCCTAAACTAGAAACAGCAGATACCAGTACTCTGGTCTATCTTCTTCCTCTCCATAACCTCCTTCCCCTAAGAAGGTTTGTAAAAGGCTATAGTAATCTTTAGTCAGAGGATGAAGTCCTGACACAACTGTTGGATCTCTGCTCAGCCCTGCTCACTCCCAGCAATAGCCCCTGAGTATCTTTGACACCCACTGGAAAAAAAGGGGAAAAAATAAAATTTAGAAACAGCTGCTTCAGCTTTGTTTTTTTCCCCCTTTAAATTTGGGCAAATCTGCATGGAGACTAGAGAGCTGCTTCTGGACAGCTTACCTGATATCTACTCCCTGCCTGCACTTAATCAGACTCCTATCTGATTCCACTATCATGGAAAGGATTGTGATATCAGACAAGGCTGGGACTTTTACTGCCTATTTTGTGGCTGTCATTAGATGCTGAAGGCTGAGCCCACAGCCCACATGTTGTTATGCAGCTGCCATGCTATTCTTGCCTTAATGCACATGCAACACTGATTCATCAGCTCCCATGCAAAAGTTACAAGGGTTTTGTACCTGCACTGATGAGATTGGGAAGAAGGAAAAAAGTTTTATTGCATTTTGTTCTTACTCGATTGTGGTTTTTCATCCCTTCTCACTTAAGGGGATGATGATCTGTGAGTATCTCCTTTTGAATATCCTCCTGTCTGTTCCTGGTGAGCCTCTGCAGTAGATGCTCTCCCACTCACCCAACTGCATAGAAGGTTGTAACAAAAAAGCATCACTGATAAGTGAGCAGCTAATTCAGTCAGGACATTCCTCCCCTGGAACCATGCTCCTAGGCATGTTCTGACCAGGTTTGGTCAACTTCTGCATGGAGCAAGCAACACAACATTAAATTAATACTTACTCAGAAGGCTTTAATACTGGTGGGCCCTCACTATAAGGTTATAAAACTCACTGTTTTTTCCCATCATGGATGCAGTAGATGCTCCATATTATGGGCACTGGGGAAAAAAAGATGTAGTCTGCTAAAGGATGGCTAGGCTTTATAACTCAGTGCTTCCCTATGGGTACTCCCAACTGTCTGGCAGGTCCTCAAGTTTTCACAGAATTAAATCCCCTTCACTAGCTTGGGGGCTACTTAGAAAGCATCAGTGTGCTTGGACAAGACAGCCTTAATAAATTAGTATAATGCTATCAGAAATGATGACAACCTTTTTGGTAGCATCTTACATGCAACCTGATATATCCTCCACCTACAAAGTCTAAAAAACCATCTTGTTGCTTTCTTGGAGTTAATTCTGATGTGAAATTATAAAAAAGAAATCTGGTAGATTTGTGTTTAAAAAGGGGAAGCCCTGGTGAGGTGGGGCACACCCCTCCACTCCTGTTAGCTCTGTCCGTTGTGTCTGCTGAAAGTGTTCCCGCCTGGTGGCTGGATCTGAATGGAATCCAGGAGAGGCCTCAAAGCTTGTCCAAAGGGTCTGAGGAGGCAAAAAATAAGACCTAGATCTTCAAGTGCTCAGAAGATATTCATAAGACTTTCTTGTGCCCTACTGAAACTCAGCCACTTCTTGGAATATAATTTAACTAGGAATGTCTGTACAAACTTGATTTCAGGTGAGCCAGTTCTAGATCTAACATACAGTACTAGCATGTTATAACATGTTAGCTCTAGACCTAACATGCAGTACTGTCATGGTGGTGATACCTTGTTTGAAACTCCCAGTAACTTACTTGAACTAGATGTAAGATCAGAATTTCATTTTGCAATGCAGTTTTCCATGAGGTATCATATGAATAACTTTAAACAGAGAAGTAATAGTGTTTCCAACTGAAGCTGTTAGGAGGAAAATCAGGGAAGAGGAAGGTCAAGTTTGAACTTGGCCAGAAATGCCATAACTTAAAAAAGTAACCTTTGTATTAGAAAAGGGAAAGGGCATGGGGTCTTGAATAGTCATGAGTAGCCCAAGCCCCAGTTTGAGCATTGAACCAACATCTCGCAAAGGTGCAAGTGGCTGTTCTGTCAGATGAAATGATCAAAGGCTAATTCCTATTTGAATTCTAAAGCATCTGGATTCTCTTTGAAAGTTTCCCATTCAAGTATATGCCATGTCTGACTTTAGAAATCTAAGGAGATGATTTCCCAAGACTGGAAAAACTTGCCTATCAATTGGTATTGCACATCCCAAGATGGGTAGTGTTATGTGAGCTGGCAAGGCAGCAGCCCCCCGAGCATCTGACTGCAGTTTCCTCACTGCCTCAACTCAGGGTATGCACCAAGGGAGCCTGGGTTAGTCTCCAAACTCCAATCTGGTGGAATAGAATGTTAGAGGACTTTCTCTCATGCCCTCCTTTCCAAATGCTTCCAACCAACCATAACTTTTAACTTTCGAGAGCAACTTAAAAATTTCAACTCCCTTTGCCCTCCTCTAAGGAAAGCCAGAGTCCATTACAGTGGGATAGAAACAGGGATTTAAGCATTGCTGGGCTCTATCCTGAGCTAAGGCCCAGCCTACAGGAGTTTAAAAAAGGTATTAGTGTCCTGAGCCAGTACACCTAGAAGCACTCTCATCCCTCCTCTCTTCCTCTTGCCAAGTGAGACAAACTCACAGGGAAGCAACTGTTTTTAAGTTTGCTGAGGGTGAAGAGAGAAAACATTCCACCCTTCTTTAGGTACAATTGTACCTGGTGTGTGTGGTACACAGACTGTCATTACACATGTATATTAAAGTTTAGCAAGTAGCATCTTCTTCCTCATCTCATAAAATAGAACAGATGCCAGTCTCCTGCAGGGCCTTATCTGTGCTGTGTGACATTAGCAAGACACAGTGTGCTCCTTATACAAACAGAAGCCAAACTCACGTGGCAAGGACTTCGGATGGAAGATCAGTGATGTAGGAAGGGATCTTCTTCCCTGTCAGGAACTGTGCCACTTCGTTACTGAAGGTATTGCAGTTATGTTCAAAGAGATTATAAGACTCTCCTCTGTGCCCAGAAGGAGTTAAAAAACAGAAAAGAGAGACTCAGCCATAGCTAAAAGGAACTCAGATCAATAATGAGAATAACCCCTTAGAAAAGCACCTTGCATCCCAAAGAATGCACGGCTCTTTAGGCAACGTACATTAGTCAGTTCAACTACACATTCAGCTGAGGTGGGGGTGGAAGACAGCAGACATTCTGTATCACTGATGCTACAAAACAGTCTTTTGGAGGGGAAGTGCGGACCAGTTTCTTCAAGTGAAACTACAGATGGGCTATGAGATCAGATGAATTACAAAAGTTGGAATTTATCAAAAACACTACGTATTATGTTTCCTACTCTTGTGGAATGCACACTAGGATCTCTAACAAACACAAGTGGCATCAGGATCTCAAGTTTATGCATTATTGCAACATTTCAGTACTGATTCTCAGTAAAGACCACATGCTAATGAAATACCATTTCCTGCACCACATACGTTTTCCCTAGAGATCCTCTCACCAAGGCATTATGACCCTGTTTTGCTGTCAAGTATTGGCACTGCAGGCTTCCTGGCAGAATGCTTTGTAAAGTCTAGCTAAAGGTCTAGGTCCATTGGACTGTTGTGTAGCTTACAGTTTATTACTTGCCAACATGCTAGATCTAGCCCCAATGTTTGACTAACACCAAACAGGTTTTTGGGCACATAAAGTTTTGTATTGGTGGAATTGGCCCGAGGGCTCCCCAGCCCACCTTTCTCTAGCGTATAGCATCTCTATGCCAAGAAAGTATTTAAAAAAAAAAAGCAGCAAAAAAGCTAATGCTCACCGGAACATCGATTCCCCCAACGAGGACAAGTATTCCAGGAAAATTTCTTCTGTAACTTCAGTGTTTCCTAGGTCAACAACTGAGTCTGGGGGACCAAGCAGTGTTCCTCCCTGTAAAATTGAAAACCAAGAAAATAAGCTTAATGGACAGAATGGATTCACTTAGAGGTTGGCAATTTCCTACTGTCCATAATGCCATTCCAGCTGTCGTTGTTTGCCTAGGATCAGAGAAAGGAATTTAGACTATGTTAGCTTGAGAGAAGCCCTGCTGTTCCCTTCACTCCCTATTTAGACAATGAAGTAACAGAGTTCATGTGGCTTATACTGCCACTTGGTCTATGCTTTCCACAAAGACCTCTGACATGTGGCTAACTTCTGTTTAGGAGGGCCTGGGCTTGGACTCAAAAACTGGAAGGAATGTCAAGGCATGAGCATATTTTTATGCATCTTGAGTCATCAAGGTCAGACCATTAAAAAGCCTTTCAATTTAAGACCGGCCAAGGCTGCCTATAGGTAGCTCAGCAACAGAAAGCATTTATCCTCTCAAACTCTGAGTGGCAGGAAGCCTTACAATTTCTTTGGAATGCTGGCTGAAACAAACTTTAACTTCTGGCTGTATTATATATCATTAGTAAAAGCTTCCCTTTTCCCCCTGAGGTGACCAGTCCCTATGGCAAACAGTACCTCACCTAGCTGCATTCTGAAAACTGTTCAGACTAAATACACTACACCTCCTGCTCTTCTAGAGGGCAGAGATGCAAGGTTCTCCTGATTAAAGACATAATTTTTTGCAGACTAATAGGATTTATTTGGGAAATAGAGCTTGAAAAAATTAAGTTCTAAGAAAGCTGAACTTACAGGTGCACAGCTGGAAATTCCACCACTGCCATAGAAGAATTCATCCTTATGGACAATTATGGAGGTATGCCTGTCATGGGAGGGCCAGAAGCCATGTAAAGAGAGGAGGAAATTGGTTACTCAGCATAAATATCATCCACAAAAATTATTACTTAAGGATGTTACTAAGGCAAACAACTGTAGCAAGATTAAAGAAAAGATCATGGCCTTTCTATGATCATGAACATATTCTAATATCCCAGTGTCTGCTGGGATGTTAACATAAAAATGGTCCACATGAATATCAAGCCTTGTGTCACACTGCAGATAGGTGGGAGAGATGTGGCTCAACCACATAATGAGATGCTAAAACGGGTGATAGGAGGAAGACCCCTCCCCGCCAGAACACAAGGTCCTCTGTGGCCTCCCTCCTCCAGCCAGATGGGCAGAAGAACTCCCAGCTGTGGGACCAGTCCCCTCAGGGAATCAGAAACTGGGAGAGCCTGGAGCATGAACTACCCCAGTAGGCAGAGAAGAGATAGTGGCTGGATGGTGGGAAGTGGATATAAACATGGGACAGTGAGTGGAGGCTGAGCCCACTGGCAGGGCAGCAGAAGACAGCTAAGTGGGCACTTTACTGGAGGTGGGAATTTTAACAAGTTGGATGTAGTGCTGTTTTGTATCAGGAAGCATGCATTAGTAAGTAACCATGTGACCTTATTTGTAAGCCTTGTCTTTCACCCACCTACTTCCCCACCTACTCATGTGTGCTGGCAAGTCTGCAGCTAGAAGTCGAGTTGCTTAAAAAAAAAAAAGAGACAGCACGCTATGTTTGAAAGGGCCAACAAGCTTTGGGTGATACTGCAATAAAATGCAACTGTTTTTAATAATTTTTGTACTCAGGTCCATCGGCAAGAGCTCAAAGAGATTTGAACAGTACCTGACTGCACTGTCTGCCCTAAATTAGTTTGTTTTCCAGGAATCTTAAAAACATTCAGAAACACTCTCTACAGCATCAGAACAATTTCTTAATGGCTGAAGCATATGTAATGATGTCCTGTTGGAAATGCTTCCCATACTGCTCAGTATCTAATGCACATTAAATCTAGTGACTTACCAGATGCCATCCAGCTGTTTCCCTGTGTGGAGAGGGGGAAAAAGAGAGAAAGAGTCATCAGCCATTCACTTTATACTTTTCAGCCCACTTGCTGTCAATCACCAATACATCTTTTCCCCCAGATGCAGACACTTCCCTCTGCCTGACGAAGGGTGTTTGCACCTGAAAGCTTGCAAAGAACAATTTTTCCAACTATTTAGTTGGTCTAATAAAAGATATCACATTTACCCAAACAACTCTGTCTGCCTATGTCCTTAGACTAACATGGCTACAACCAACACCTTTATCTTCCCCCATTATCTCATCTGGCCTCAAACCCCAGACTGCAGCTTTCACCTCAACATAATTCTTTTCAAAGGCACAGGAAACAGTTTATGTTAATTTTCTTTGGGGTGTTAGTAAGGGAAACCACACTGCCTCCTCTGTTCACTTAATTTCTGTTTGCTTGCATGAGAGTTTGGTCACAACAGCTTTTTTTTGCCAATAAACACCTCCTTGACCCTCCCCAGGCTTGATACTAGGAATGAGAAAAGTGTTCCATTTCAGTAGCCCAGTTAGTCCTCCACCACAAGGGTGCTCATCTAGGACTAGCCGCACTGAAGTTTTGCACATGCTGATACAGAGTCACTGTATGATATTTTTTTTCATTTTCAGTTACTACTGAGGGGCCAGATTGGAACAGGTGATTTAGAGTGAAAATCTAGCTCTGTCCTAGTCCCTCTGCCCCTTAAAAATACAGTCAAAGTGCAAACATTGAGTATAACCTTCCCATGTTTCTTTCAAGGGTGTTTTTTTTTTAAACTAATTGGGCCTTCTGATTTTTTTTTTTTTTAGGGCAAAGCAAAACCTAACACCCTCGCTGAATACTGAAGGTAGCATCCCTGTTGATCCTATTACCCTCAGCTGTTTTGAAGATGTGTACCTGAAGCTGTCTTTTCTTTTAGGGCTGGTCTATGCAGGGGAGTTGTTGTGAAATAGCGAGGGTGTACTTTTAAAGCACAAGTTATTCTACAGTAACTTCCCAAGGTGGAAAGAGCTAAACTCTAAGGCACTGCACTCTCAGTGTGGAATAAGAACATCTATGAAGTGAGCTAGGGCAGAATAGCTGTTCCACATTTAGGTTCTTCCAGGTTACTTCTTTGTGTAGGTAAGCCCAAAGCTTTTGTTTAATTTCCTGTCTAGGTCAAACCTTGTTTCCAAGCTGCCTTAAATGTTTGCATTCAAGGAGGAAGTGGTACAAAATTGACCAGGGAAACCAAACCACAAATAATATTCAGAAGAAACAAGATAGCTATTTTCCTGTTCATCACACTGAGGATGAAATAAGATGGTTATTTTGGTTTTCACTTTAATTTGAGATGGAAAGATGAGCCTCAGGGCATTAAATGGAGGAGAACTAAAAATGATCACATTCAAACTGACTTGGCTCAGGGAGGAAGAATTAGTTTCCAACTTGGACATAAAACAGTGCTGAACAACAAATTATATGTCTACATTTATTTCTGCGTATCATTTAGAATAATGTGACCCCTATATGTATTACTGGAATATAACTAAGTTTGCCTGGAAGAGAAACTAATAGTGTGGCCCTGTTTTAAAGAGAAAATACAGGGCTTTAAAAATACTAGGCTGGGGTAGACTTAAAATTTATAAACACATCTAGTAACTAAATGTAAAAATAGCTGCTTCTATTCATGTCAAGATCAAGATTCAGTATTTTCTCAGGCAGTGTCAGTTTACACTGGACAGATGGAATACTGTTACTTTTGTACATCACTCATCCTGGACACTGAAGCTCTGCTATACTGGATACTTCCCCTTATGAATTCCATTTACAAGTAAAGAGATGCAGTGGTTGGATTCCTCATGTGGCAGGAAAAATATCTAAATTAAAATAATAAAGACATTTCCAACTGTTTTTTAAAAAATATACTAATTTAGAATTAGGCACTAAATCAAATAAGGGACATAAGCAGATATGAGCTTGACACCACCAAGCCTAACCTTGAAGATGTTGGCTCCAAGCTGGAACCCAGGATTAGGTGCCTACATTCCATATACAGTTTATGGGGAGGAGAGTTAAGTGGCTCAGAAGGGTGGTCCAAAAACCTCACACCCCGAGCCAGGAGATTCATATATCTGCCTAGTAGGAAACACAGAGCACTGGAGATATTTTGAACTCTATATATTAGTTTTGTATACTTGTAAATTACACTAGGATCCAGAGTGGTCAGACAACCAACTCTCTTCAAGTAACTGCTTGCAACAGGCAATAATACAGTTCCTTGCCAGTAGGTGACAGAGTAGCATAGAAGCTTGTTTCCCTTGAGAAAAATTACCCCAGAGTAAGCTGCAGACACACAGTACATACAGTTATGTATCTTACACTGTTGTAGTTTACCCTGATTTTTCCCAAGATCATTCTATACCAGATTTGAGTAAATTATATGGTGTAGGGCAGTACAGCATGTATCCACTCCTTTTTTATACTACTGTAAAAAACAATTACACTGATGTAAATGTGTCCCTAATCTCCTCCTTTGTCCGAGGGGGTTCAAATCCATATTTTCTCCTACTGCCAGACAAGTACTCTGGACTACCAGGCTATGGGCTAAATTGGGTGGAGACACATTTCACCCTTCTATTGGCAACTGTTCCACTATACTAGTGATCTTGATCCACCGGTAGATCTCGGAGCCTCTTGCAGTAGATCTTGGAGCCTCTTGTGGTTAATCTGAGCTGGTGTGGGGGTCTGAGTGCCCTTATGCATGCACATGTGTGCCCCAGACCAGCAGGTCAATCCGTGGGGGACGGAAGGGGCAGGGGCTAGATTGAGGCTCCCACGGTGAGAGAGTGCTGCAGAAGCAGGAGGAGGGGTAAATTAAGTGGGGCCCAGGTCAGGTGGGACTTACCTGCTGAGGAGGCGCGCCCCCAAATAAGTTTTTCTCCCTCTGCTACTTGCTCGGTGAGGGGAAGGAACGGGAGGATGGTGGCAGTGCACAGTAGATCTTGGGTTGCTTTTAAATGCCAAAGGTGATCTACTTAAAAAGGTTGGAGATCACTGTACTATACAATGACTAATGTAAAATGCACAGTTCAGGAAGCAGTGACCAGAATCCAGAATTCCCCTTCCCAGCTGAGTGCTCCACCCACTAAGCTACAGAGTCACATTTCTCTTTGCACACTCTACCCCACTACCAAATCTTGCATTCCTTTCTGCACAGTCCAACAGTTTCA